GTTCAAACCCAGCCCCAGTGAAGTCTGCCAGGAACAACATGAGTTTTGAGAAAGTCAGCCTTGTGTCTCACGCACGAGACCTATCCTTGCCATTTTGTTTTAGAACCTATGGTGAAATTTAATTAGAAATTGATTCTGGTCAGATTAAATTGATTTAATTGATGAATTGAGTACCCAATTATTTTATGTTGAAATAATATGTGAGAGGGGCTATTATAAACCTTATTAAAACCAATTCCTTCCCTTTACATTGATTTTGGGCTGATCAACTCTAAGAGAAGAGGAGGGCCGGCTATTAGAGAGAGGGAGGGGAGAAAAATCTAAGTTTTGCTCTTGATCCTTGAATGCCTTGAAGATAACACAAGAATTGCCATAGATTGTGAAGATTAAACTCCTTGGTGAGTAGTTCATGTAAATTTTTAACTATCATTTTGTGAATTCAAGGTTGAAAGAGGGTCTAGAGCATAGAATTGTCTGATCATAAGGAAATTGAGTTGAATTCGTTATAATGGAGACCCATATACACATGCATGTGTGTGATTGTCTTGAATATTGCATGTTTTGAACTCAAAGGGGTATGATCCATGTACATTGTAGTTGAAACTCATGTTTTGATCACCAATTGTGCATCTAAGTTGAGAATGTGGCTAATTCATCACATGCATGTACAACTTGAGAAGATATGAGCTTAAATGCATGAGTTTGTTATGTTAGTGTTGAGTATGGCATATTTTGGGACATGCACGTAGATAAATCAAGAAATTGAGCCTCATGATGTTATAATCTTGCATTGGTGCCATGTTAGTATGATTATATTTGAGATTTGGGCCGTTGCATGCAAGTAATGTAGCTGGGAATTCGAATTGGAGCTCAAGAACGCAATCTGGAAAACCCAGATGTTTGATGTCCGCTCGAGCGGGAAAATCGTGCTCCCAGCACTTTTTGCAGAGTTGGATGTCCGCTCGAGCGGGATATCTCACGCTCGAGCGGGGAGCTTTTGTAGACAGGCCTTCCACTCGAGCGCTCTATCCCACGCTCGAGCATATTTTTCATGCAACCAGTACTTTTGCAGGCCTTAAGGGTCCGCTCGAGCGGGTAAGTTGACGCTCGAGCAGGGACCCTGTTCTCTGAAATTTTGTATGCTCGTTCTGTGTTTCATTTTCCGTTCTCTTTCACTTGTAAACACTCTTAGGCATATGCTAAGCATTGTAAATGAGTTAATGAGATAAGAATAAAGCCTAAAGAGGAATATGTGAATCAAAGAACGGATTGAACTGTTAGTGACCCTCTTGTGTTCATGAAATGTGTAGGGTCAAGCTCCAGGGCAAATCCAGAAGCCGATCACTGTGAGTAATATCGATATTCGAATAATTGTAAATGTCCAATTGTTTATTCCCTTATAAGCTTTATGATTTGCTGATTGGGATTGTGAACAAAAATCTGACATGGAAATAATTGGACCTAAGGTCGTTTTGATAGAAATGAATGGACCAGAGGTCGTTTTGATAGAAATGACTGGACCAAAGGTCGTTTTGATGTACATGAACGGACCGAAGGCCGTTTTGACATATACGGATGGACCGAAGGTCGTGTTGACAAGAATGAGTGGGCCGAGGATCGTTTTGACACGAATGAGTGGGCCGAAGGCCGTTTTGCCACAAATATTTGGGCCGAAGGCCGTTATGACATAAATGAATGGGCCGAAGGCCGTTTTGACATAAATGAATGGGCCAAAGGCCAGTATGTTTGGAACTACAGTCACTCGATC